CGTGGCAGTACAGTAACAGTACGGTAGAAGTATCTTGTGCGAGTTGGTGTCGGTATCGCACGCTTGTCTATCTGGGTAATCGTATATATTTTTTAGCGATTCGATTTATGATACATAACCGATTGCCGATATTAAATCCAAATAATGTGAACTGCGACGCCATCCATAGAATGATGAGATGCACTAACTCGTAAAAAGAAATTTCCATTCTTGGCGCTCAAACGAGTATTAACTACCACAATACGATCCAGTACAATCTGAAAATTAGAGGAGTGTGGAAGAAGAATGTTAAAAAATGACTTCGTGGAGTAGCGTACAGTCGGGCTTTAACGTCGACGATGAGACTATTAATTTTGGAACACGAATAATTGCAGAAAACAATGGTTCTCTGTACGAGTCATGCACCGTGGCAACGATTCAGTCGCTTGAAAAGGTTCGTGTTATATATTCAAACTTGTCTAGTATGACAGTTGCACGGTAACTTGGAATGTTTTTCATTGACGTTCGTATCAGCTGTTCTTTTACGCGATGTGATTGAAAATAGGAAATTCCGAGATACTTTACTTAAAAGAGAATAAGTCTCGAGAGATATCGCTCGAATGAAGCGGACGTGTTTCGTCTCGGCTCGGGGCGGGTTGTCGGGTATCGTATTATCTCAATTATTTTTTTGGAAAATGTTACCGAAACTTTAACCATGCGCATTTGCATTTCTCATACTGAGATTCCTTCGTTCGTCTAGACGCGCGTGCCTGGAGCAGCGTGGAGCTCCGGTCGGTTTGTATTGTCATTTTCGACCATGTTGTACTTAACTTATCCTTTCGAGAAGATTGCTCGGTTAAAGTGACGTGTACAGTGTATTTTTCTTACAAGTTCTTCCATTTTTCGATGTTCGAAGATTCGAACATCAGTGGTTCAGTTTCAGCCAAATTCGGCTACAGTGCCAATAAAAGAGGACGAAAAAGAAAAGCTTGAAGAAAAACATAAAGTACTAGGGTATAATTTTTTTAAAGCAATATCAGTTGTTTTTTTATGTTTAAATCCGTGTGAAATGCGCACGCGCTGGATTTGTATTATTAAAGCACACATTAAAAAAATGACTTATTATTTTTAGATTTATTATTTTATTATATTGTATACATTATAATTATGATTATTATAAATTATGATACATCATTAAAATCAATTAATATGTCTTTTTAAGGTGGACCAGCAACCAAATGTCATAGCATCTATTCAATATTCCAAGATTTGTGTGGCAATTGATAAGTCCATTACAATCTTTAAAGATGAAACATGCGACGAAATATTATGTAACATTAGCTTTCCCTCCATGATAGCCAGTTATTGCATTTCCAAAGATGGTTTCTTTCTATTTGTAACACTCACAACCAGGATTTTGTACTGTTTGCATTTATCAGATGGAAAAATTATTTTTACTAAGTAAATGTTATTTATCTTTTAATATCTTTTATTGTTTAATAAATATTTAATTATATTTTCTGAAAAATTATTTGTAAACTTATTATAAATATAATTCTGATGTGTGCATAAATAACTTCTGATTGCAGAACTATACCTAATAATAAGGATAATATAATAGAAATATTTTTAAAAGAGCAAAGTGAAGAAACATTTATAATTCTTGTCACAAACACTGGAGCTATTTACAGGTATCATATTTACATATTTATATTTTACTATATTTTACTTATTAAATTTGTCTTATATATATGTATATATAATGAATTTAATATCTAGTATAATTTCCGTTATTCTATATATTCTAAATATTTTAGATTCTCCAAATTTTATCCTGAAGCTTTAGAGATTGCATTTACCAGTGATAAAGTTGCAGTTGCAAAATATATTGCGGATATTCAATGTTGTCAATTGTTCAAAGGATTTCCTTCTCAAGAGGTAATATATATATATATATATATATTATATATATTTTTTTAAAGAATTTATTAATACCTTTATAAATATTCAATTTAAACAAAGTTATATCATATAAATATCATGGTTTTCGTTTTCCATGTCATTTTATAAAGAATATGTTACAGTTTCTTAGCACTACAATAGATGTATCATCAGACGAACTATCGATAGCTATAGTTGGAATAAATTCAATGTTTACTTGGCCTAATGAACAATACACCAATTTCCAAAGTGTATTTTCTTTTGGATACAAAAAGATAAAATCGCTACATGGCAGCAGGTAATTAAATAAAAAAAATTTTTTTAAGTATGCTAATATATATTAGTTTGTTGTATTTTTGGATTTATATATATCTTAAGTTACATGATACATAAAAATACTTTATCTTTTAGTAAAATGCTGTGTCTACGTACAGATAATATATTAAGTATGATATGTCTGAATACATTTCTTACATTAAAAATATGTGATGGTCCAGTATTTGATTTTGATGTAATACAACATAATGATTATTCTGAAATTTTACTTTTAACGCATTCTAAGGACAATTATGCTACACATACATTACGTATTATTTCTTATCCAGGTAAATGTATTATTTTTATTTGTAAATAGTTTAGTTTTTATAAATTAATGAGATACTTTTTGTTCTTTTAGATTTTGAACAGAAGTTAGAAATCAACGTATCTGCTAATACTCATTTACTTAAGATTTTACATGCTTCCGATAATCTATTTTATATAGAAGGTATTACTACTAACAATGAGACCGGTATTACCGACACGTTTAGAATAAAAACGATATTGGAAAGTATTCCCGAAATACGTTTAGCGAAATTATTAAAGAAGAGACAATTTGATGCAGCTGAAGCTTTTGCAAGAAAATCAAATCTTTCAATAGAACCTATTTATTGTTCTAAAGCAGCATTACTCATAGAACAGCTTAGTCCGTGGACAAAATCTACTCCTAATTCGAGAGAGATCAACGTAGATACATTAATAAATATTCTAAATAAAATACAAAATGTGCAATATGTGATTGAATGTTGCAGTAAAGCCCTTATTTCTGATTATATACAAATGAGACGTATATATTTATATGCTCGACAAAAAATAATGCAAAATATTAAGGTATTTATTATTTGTACCGTTAATATTGCATCAGGCTATAATCAGTGTTTCTACATTCAGTTTATATTCTTTACAGATAAAAAATATAGATGATTCGTTGAATACCAATCTATCTATAATAAACGACGCTTTATATAGACTTGAGACTTTCCGCATGATTCAAGATACCGAGACAGATACGCTATTGAACAATGACGCAAGTATAAAGGAATGGATACGATT